GTCCTGTGCATATGGAGAGGTGTGCAGGTGTGTACTGTGAGTATGGACAGATTTTCAGGATTAAGTTGGACGTATGGACAGGTGTCCAGGAGAGTCCAGCTCTAAGGGGCTTGTAGGTACGGTACCCAGATGTGTCCCGATGTGGACTCACCCCTGTGTGCCGGTCCCTCAGTGCAGCGTGGGCCCTCTCTCTGTCCCAGGAGCCTCCCAGGGCCCATGCAGGCTTACAGAGCCTCAGTCTGTCCAGGAGAGTGAGCGGCGGGTCTCTGGCCATACTGTTCCCATTCAGCACCCCTGTGGAGGCCCTGCAATACAGAAGCACACCGAGACACTGAGGGACAAGCGATCAACATGTCTCTCTCCACTCTTCCAACTCTCTCCTCAATCCCATCATCCTCTGACTTCCTCTCCTCCCCTGTCTTTCTCGTCCTCTCTCACCTCTCCGTGCTGCTCGCCCCTGCTCGCTCATCCAGGCCCTTCATCCCCTCTGCCCTGGAGGGGTGGGGCATCTCAGTGGGATTGTCCTGTCCTGCTCAGGGGGTCCCACTGCTCCATTCCCAAGGGCACTGCACTTCCATCGGCTGTCCACTGCTCCCGTCCTTAGCTCAATGCTGTGGCGATTCTGTCGTCTCCAGGACAGCGCTGTCTTTATACAGATGTCACAAGCTTTAAATAAAAAAGTCACACAGTGGTAAGATATGGACAGACAGACACAGTGCAGTATCGCTCTGCACTGGGTAGTGTTTCCACACTGGGATCACACTGCTGCTGCGCAGAGCTGGACAGACACAGAGCTGGACAGACAGACACAGAGCAGTATCACTCTGCACTGGGTAGTGTTTCCACACTGGGATCACACTGCTGCTGCTCAGTGCTCGACAGACAGCAGTGGGATTATGCCACGGGTCCTGCTCTGCAGCAGAGATACTCAAACACCCTGGACTGCTCAATCTCCAGAACATCTCTTACAAAGGCGAGAAAATTGGAGATCCCACAGTACAACATGCCAAGTTATAGCCTGTTGCATTGCACATAGCGCCCCCTAATATTTATAGCAGACTGCAGTGCAGAGCGATAGACACATTTTGCAAAAGGGCAAGAGTGCCTGTTTGTCCAGAACTTCAGACTGAAGGATGACAGAAGAATAAGGTGATATGTATCATGTCTAGTGGGATTTAAGATGACATCCTCACTAAAGCCCACCAGCGCATTCACTTCCTGAGAGAGTTAAGGAAGTGGGGGATGAGCAAGACAACACTCACCAATTTTTACCGTAATACCACTGAGAGTGTCCTGACTGGTGGTATTACGGTGTGGTATGGTGGAGCCACAGTACAGGACAGAAAAGCTGTACAGAGGGCTGTGAGGTCTGCTCAGAAAATCATTGGGACAGAGCTACCCTCCATCGACCGGATATATCTCGATTGCTGCCACACCCGGGCTCGAGCAATACTTCAGGACCCAGTTCACCCTGGCCATGATCTGTTCTCACCCCTGGGGCCTGGTAGGAGGTATCGCAGTATCAGAACACTGACGCATAGATTCAAAACCAGTTTCTTCCCTCAAGCAGTCCACATCTTAAACAGCTCAAATTAGCACATGCACATACAGTATTAGCACGTGCACTTTAAGGTACTGCACTGTTTGCACTGTGTCCTGTCTTGGCTGTATCATAATGTCTATTGTCTAAATTTATTGTCTATGTCTGTCATTTGTGCCCCTGTTACTGGGTACAGCTGAACGAGTAAGCATTCCAATACACTTGTTGTATATGGCAAATAAAGAAATCTTGAATCTTGACATTCAATGGAACTGTGAGTTTCTCTATAGGGTTATTAAAGGTTAAAGGTCAATAGCAGTGGATTGAGTCGGGGATGAAACAGAGAGAGAAAGCCTGTCTCCTGCTCACCCAGTGCTCCTCCCTCTTACTGTGTCTCCTCTCTCTGAATACATGTCCAGCATCTCGTCTTCCACCCCCGTGACACAGCCCTCTTTCCATGTCCTAGCTGCGTCACCCCAAAGTCCTCCCACACCCCCCAGCTCTCAGAGCCCCGGCAGCAGCTTCACGCCACCAGATCCAGCAAGCAGGAAGTGGCTCAGGCCCAGTCCACTCCCGTCCCCAGCAGGCCGGCACACTGTCCCCGTGTATCTCCTGGCGGCGGGGGGAACCCAGCTCGCCGGCCACACGAAGGGGGACAGCAGGGAGCTTGTATCGGGAGACTCCCGGTGAAAGTCAGGATCACTGCCGTGGACCCTGTGGAATCGCTGTCTGATTAGGATTCCTCACGCTGCTACAGCTGTCTGGTTACCCGCTGGGGAGGCAGCGAGAGAGTGGTGTAGAGGAGGTGAGGCTCAGACAGACAGACACCCCTCCGTAACTGAAGCTGTCCCAGGCATGGGAAAACCCAGGCCCAGTTCCTGCAGCTTCTACAGGTGATTTCTCTGTAATACACCACCCTTTCCTGCACTGCGCTACACAGAGAATCTCTCGGCAATCAGAGACACGGAGGACAGGAGACACACAGAGAACGGGAGACACAGCGAGAGAGAGGAGATACACAGAGGGCAGGAGGCACAGCAAGCAAGCAATAATAGAGAACTCCTCAGTCAAGTACACAAAGAATAACAGGAGACACAGTGAGAGAGAGGAGGCGATGGAAAAGGAGGAGCTGGCTGTACGGTACTGTTGCCTCACTTACAACCGTGCGGTCCTCCGTCTTCTTCAGCAGCTCTCCTGCGAGCCGAGACAGACCCGGCCCAGCGACTCTACACCTCGGCCTGCAGACTCTCCCGTCTCCACAGACGGCTGACCCCCAAGTCTCGCCCTCCTGTTCTCCCGTCTCCCGAACACCCTGCCCGTCTCCGTGTCAAGAGTCCTCGCACTCCCCTCTTCTGCTCTTCAGCCCGTCTTCCCACCTGCTCTCCTCCTCCTTCCTCCCTCTCTCTCTCTCTCTCGCTCTCTCTCCTCTCCCCTCCCTCTCTCAGTCTGCGGTTAACCTCGCGCTGCTCGAAGCACAGAGCAGGCAACAGACGCGCCGAGACCGAGAGAAACGTGCTGCGGGGGACAGCGGCGTGGCCCGGCCCACCCTCCACCGGCTGCCGGGCCGCGCGCGCTCCCCGGTGACGAAGCACAGCAAGCGCCGCTGGCGACAGCACCTGCCTGGCGCCCCACCGGGGCTGATGGGAAATACCCCGGCGCGGCAGACGGCCCAAGCCTGAGCCGTCTCAGGGGCAGGGGGAGCCAGGCCCAGCTCCTGCAGCTCTCACAGGCGCGCGGAAGAAAACAGGGTGTCTGCAAGGCACCACCCTTTCCTGCCCTGCTCTACACACAGAGAGCGACAGGAGATAGGAAGGTCCGTGGCAATAAACCACATTCTTCAGTCAAACGCTCATTAAGCCCAGTTTCCATTGGTCTTTCCTTTTGTTACTACTGTTTTTATTGTTTTCCTACGAACATACAAAGGTAATCAGGGCCAACCACAACAAAATATCATCGATCATCTCAAACCCTCACGTGTTTCCAATAGAAATGAGTGTGAAGTCTTGTTCTTTATCATCTTTTGCATGTTTTCAGAGCGTAGTGTACTGGGGAGGAAGGAGGGTGAAGAAAAGAAACATAAAATCATCATCATTAGGTTATAAGATAATCCTCCTCTCCCAGTAACTCTCAAAAACCTCCTGCTGGAGTCCTAACTGAAAGGTTAACATCATCAATCTCTGAAACGATAACAGTTCCAGTTTTCTTCGGTTAGGGGACCTCTTTGTAACCATTTACGTGTTACAGCTTTCTTGCTTGCTGCCAAGAATACTTTCAGCGAGTATTTCTCTCTTCCTACCACCTCGTCAGGCAGGTCACTCAGCTGCAGAACTGAACTAGCCTCTGGCACGTCTGAACACCCCCGAACCAGAGACCACGCTTCTTCCCAGAACTGCTCGGTTTCCTACCCCGTGAGAGAGCTGGTTTCATAGAGGTCAGCCATAGAGGTGAAAGCGCATCAGGATGTGACACTCTCTCTCCCCGTGAGAGCCGCTTCCTGTGTGAGGAGCGCGCTCGCGTGTGCCATGTCTCGGGCTCCGCTCAGCCGCTCTCGCCGGAAACTGAGCCCCCTGGAGCGCGTGCGTGTGCGCACAGAGAACACTGGTCCAGTCTGTGTCATACTGTAACCCTACAGTCCAGAGATCACTGGACCAGTCTGTGTCATACTGTAACCCTACAGTCCAGAGATCACTGGTCCAGTCTGTGTCATACTGTAGCCCTACAGTCCAGAGATCACTGGTCCAGTCTGTGTCATA